CTTTTCTGGGGCATAAGGATCTTGCGAGAAAAGAGGCATTTGCACAAAAAGAAAATGTCCACACTGCTTGTTTTTGCGCAAAAACCCCAGCACAAAAATGGAGCGGCAGAAAATAAGCAAATGAGATCTCGACTCATGCAAATGAGTCCCTCATTAGCATATTTTTTCTAAGAAAACATATAGTGTAGCTGTAGCCATACAGGTTGAACCTCCCTTGTCCAGCACTCGCGGGCCTGGCAGAGAACTTGCCGGACCACGGGCTCTTGGAACCCAAACAAGAGAATTTGCCAGACCAGGGAGGTCAGGCATCCGGGCTCTCCCAGCTCTCCCCTCCTGGCAGTTGCCCCAGGAGAACCCAGACACCTGACCTCCCGCACACCTGCTTGGGTCTGCTGCCTCAGCTCACCCGTGGGGCTCTGCTCCCTGTCCCGCATGGGGCAGCAGCTGTTCCCAGGGTTCCCTGGCTCCAGCTTTGTGTGCTGAGGTGGAAGCTGCCCTCGAGGGTCCCCAGCCCCATGTGCGGCAGGACAGCTGCTTCAGGGGTTCCCCTGCTCTAAGCACCACAGCGGCGACAGCTGCTCCCAGGTCACTGCCCCAGGTCACTGCCCCAGCCACCAACCAAAGTGGCTTTGCTCCCAGCCGCTCTCAACCTCTGAGGCTGGGCTCTCTCGTCTAGCAACATCTGTGGTCCTGCCAGCCCAGGGAGTCCAGTCCAGAGGTTCAACCTGTATTTTTGTTAGGCTCTGAGGGCCACAGGCCTGCTCGTTCCAGCAGAGGGGTGTGCATGTTGCATGCGCCACTCTGGGATGAGTTTCCCCTAGAGGTGTCCGCCAGGCTCCATGGAGTGGTGTATAGGCATAGCTGACACGTTGTCTCCCGGTTCCTTCCTTCTGTCTGTGGCGCTCACGGGAATGTTCAGCAATGGCCTCTTCCTGTCACTAAATTGTAAATAGGGGTAAGGAGGGAGCATAAGGCAGTTCACAGCTAGAATACTGCAAGCTCCTGCTCTGTGGGGCTAGCCGGCCCAGACTCCGGGGCATGCTCCACTCCCAGGGATGCCATGAACACAGGCCAGTAAGTGATTCCAGGACGGTTGTCTGAAGTGCCTGGGTGACTGTCACGTGCCCGATTTGTAGGGATTTCAACCCTAAAGCTAAGGAGAGAGACAATTGACTGAAATTCCTTTTCATGCAGGAGGCACTTTGCCCCTCTTCAGAGCAATGACCTAACTAGGTACCAAGTGCTTCTGCAACCAGGTGTGGTCCAACGTCTGTTTGAGAAATCCAGCCTGGCCCAGGTTCCCCGGTACCAACCAACCACCTGCCAGCACCAACACCCCTCTCCAGTGCCCACTTGCCATCTCTAGTGCCAGTGGAGACGATGCAAAAGTCAGACAGGACATGTTCCCACATGACAAAGACCACAGAGAGAGAGGCCTGCCCCAGCCTCCTCCTCCCGGTCAGTCACAGCAGCTGGCACTGTTGAGTCTAACCCCAGTAGGGGACCCACTGAGTCTGTTGCCAACAGACTCCCCACATAGGATTAAATTAATGGAGATGCCTATCTCCTAGAGCTGGAAGGGACCTTGAAAGGTCATTGAGTCCAGTCCCCTGCCTTCACAGCAGGACCAAGTACCATCCCTGATGAATTTTTGCCCCAAATCCCTAAACGGCCTCCACAAGGATTGAAGTCACAACCCTGGGTTTAGCAGGCTAATGCTCAAACCACTGAGCTAGCCCTCCCCCCTTTTAAAGGATGAGCCATGGAGGGGAACATGACCCTGGCGGCACCTTTTGCTCCTCCAAGCACTGCTCTCTCCCCTGGGCCCTGGCTCACAAGGGAACACTGCAGGGCCTGTTCCAGGAAGAAAAGCAAGGCAACCCACACCGCCTGCCCACGCTGGGCACTGTGGCTGCACTCCGCCCTGGCTCAACTGGCCTCCTTAGCACTGGTTTTCCGCATGGCGAGGTCTCGCTCCCATCTTTGCATGTGTACGTATCCCTGCCAAAGAGAAGCCTCCAGTTTCTGCTTCTGCCCATCTGTTCTCGATTAACGGGCTAGTGACTGGGGATAGCAGATCTTGTGCGGCTCTAGGGCTGCAGCACTGCGGCGCCAGAGTAAACTGCAGGGAGACCTAAGCTCCTTAGATTCTTGTGATCTATTTGGTGTGGGCGGCGGACTCAGTCTACATTCTGCTTTGTTACCAACCCAGACCACTTTGCACTTGCCATTATCTATCACAGAATGGCTGAGTCATAAAATCAGCATTTCCCACCACAACATCTCTTTAGAGAAATGCACATCACACAGGTTTCAGAATCTTACACTACAGCACGCTCAGTCTCCTGCAGAGCCGGGCTGGATCTGGGTAGGCTGAGCCACACAGAGGAGTGGGTGCTGGGGTGCAGAGGGTGGAGGGTTAGCAGATGCTTGGGTGCAGGTGCTGGGGTGCCAAGGGTGTTGTGGAGGTGCCTGGGTGCGGCGGGAGGATGAGCCACACAGAGGAGTGGGTGCTGGGGTGCAGAGGGTGGAGGGTTAGCAGATGCTTGGGTGCAGGTGCTGGGGTGCCAAGGGTGTTGTGGAGGTGCCTGGGTGCGGCGGTAGGAGGCGCTTGGGGGCAGGGGCAGGGTGCGGGTGCC